AAGCGTATGCAATGTGTCAGCAATGTGACACAGGAGCTAATAAACAGTGAAAGGGGAATTCAGGTGGCGGCTACTGCCGGCTGCCTGTTAGCACATCCTGGTTAGCATGTGGCCCCACCCCTTTGCTTGGTAGCAGAAGTATGGCAGCCCACACGTCCCAAGAATGTTTGTGTATGGCAGTTTTGCCTTTTTACGATAGGCACGAGCAGTGTTGCTGTGCCTGGGTGAAAAAGGGCAAATAAATGACTAACATGAAAGCAGCCTAGAGAATGCTGTGCTGGCTGAAGTAGCTGATGCTTGCATGCACTGATTTGTTGCCAGCACGAACTAGACAGACCGTGCTTGGTTTTGAAAGCATTAAATGGACCGCCCCTCCCCCTTCTCTGCCTCATAAAATGAGAGAGCAGGCTACTATGGGGAACATGGCTGCCACTGCTGTGACACCAGTTAGGCAGGCCATGGGCTGGGTGCCCCCCCACACCTGTTGCTGATTTACTGCTGGCCCCTCCCCCACCGTCCCTGCCATGGCTCCGCCTCTGTGAGGCCTGGGCTTGTGGAGGTTGACTGCCAGGTGGCAGATGTCGAAGAAGCTTCCATCCTCTCCTCTGGTGTTGCCCACCTGTTCTTGGGCTGCCCCCTGCTGGTCCCCGGGCACAGTGTCGGGCGAGATGGGTCCCTTCACCTCTTGATTGGAGCACTCCGGGTGTGGGAATTAGCCCTTCCTGAGGTCCCATCTAGTAGAGTGGACCTCAAGGTTGTTGCTATCACGCAGCCTCAGCGCCTACTGCCTAAGGTGCCACTGCTGCCTGGTTGGCCTGGTTGCAGGCCGTGTGTGCCCTGTCTCCCGACATTTATGGTCCCCTGCCTGCAGTTGGTTGCTGCCGGGCAAGCCCCCCCTGGTCCCTAATTGCCCCTTCGGGCCTTCCCTGGGCAGAGCGGCATGCCCTAACAAGGGCATGAGGGTTACTTATGCCCTGCTGGTGGCCATTTTCTCACTCCATCTATGGATGGAGCTTGACCTGACAGCTGCAGGCAGGCTGGGCGTGGAGAGCCCGCCACAATCCTGTGCCTCTCAGGCTAAATGAGGTTGATGGCTGCAGCGTTCCCTCCCATGGCTCCACCTGTGTGAGGCCTGGGCCGGTGGAGGTTGATTATTGTGAGGTGGATGTTGAAGAACTTCCATCCCCTCTGGTTACCACTGGAGTGGGGCCTAGACAGGTGTACCCATGTTTGGGTCGCCTGATTCTGGGCCCCTCCCACAGCATTCCCTCCCATGGCTTCGCCTCCTTGAGGCCTGGGCTGGTGGGGGTTTGATTGTCAGGAGGTTGATGTTTCTGACGGTTGGCTCCGGTCAGACGACTAGGGTTGCTTGATGGAACTGCCTGTTTGCCCTGCAACCACCTCGCTATGAAGAAGCTGAGGGGCCTATGCAGGCATGCAGAGATGGCCGTGTTCAGTTGAGGTGGGGAGGACTCGGAACCTAGGCTCAGCTGTCCTCCAGCCGCTCTCCTCCCTCCTGACATCCTTTGAGTTGGGCCTAGTGGCCAGCTCTGCTGCAGGCTGTGTTCCCCTGGCCTATTGCACGCGCTTCGCCGGTTTCATACACCAGTCATACCTTGCTGCGTCTGACGGCTCGGCCAGCAGTTGACATTTCTCCGGCCTGTGGCGCTGGCTCTCTGTCTGGCACATTGCCCAAATGTTGCGGGCTTACGTGGCTGGCAGGGCCTGCTCAGTGAGCTGACACCCCCGGCGAGTCACGTCCCTGGCTGCACTGCAGCTCCAGGCTGTCTTCCCCTGGCATATTGCCCACATTCGCCGGCTTACACGCCACCCATGCCTCACTGTTTCTGATTCTTCGGCTGGCGAGTGGGTGTTCTCCGGCCTGCGGCGCTGTGCATGAGTGTCATGAGTGTTTTCGAAGTTCACTCTTGCTGCTCCCCTGTCTGCGGACAGCGCTAGCGAGTGCTCAGCCCTGGGGCAGACCTTTGGGTTAAGTCCCCACTTGGCTTCAGCGGGCTAGACTGCCAGCTCCCCCATCTGTGAACGGCTGGGCGGCTCCGTGGTTAGATGGACCCTACAGGTTGCATCCCTGCCTTGGCCCTGCGTCTTTGCAGCTGTACTGTGAGTACAGTGAGTGTGAGTGTTCTCCAGCACACAGCGCTGGCTCTCTGTCTAGTGGGTTGCCTCTGTGTCGTGGGTCACATGGCCAGCAGGTGCCCGCTCAGTGAGCTGACACCTCCCGACTGTCTGCTAGTGTCTTATCAGGCCCACTCTTCTGGCCCCCTGTCTACAGACACCGCAGAGTGGTTGCTATGCCCTAGTGATAAACCTTGGGTTGCTCCTCACTTGGGCCCTCAGTGGCCTGAGCCACCACCCTGTCGTGGATGGTGCAGGTCAGCTGCTCTGCTCCTGGGACAGGCCCAGGGCCTTGTCCTACCTCGACCATCCACTGAGTGGCCGAGCTGCTGCGAAAGGCTCTCTCTCCCTGGCACAGTGTCACTGCCTAGTGCCAAGCGGGGATCTGTTGTGACTTGACTTCTCGAGCTGGCGGCTCTGTCTTCCCGTCTGGAGCGCCATCCGCATATCCTGGATTCTGTCACAGCGGTAGTAGCTGCTGTGCTCGAGTGTCTTGGTAGGCTGTGTTCCCTTGGCGTTTGCCCGCGTTCGCCGGCTTACATGCCAGTCTCACCTTGTTGCGGCAAGTGGGATTCTCCAGCCTAGTGTAGCCTGTTCTGTCTGGTGTGTTGCCCACAGTACGTGGTTCACACGGCCAGCAGGACTCCTGTCATTCCTCGGCTTCTTGGCTCTGACTGCAGCTTAAGCCGCCACCACTGCTGCTGCTGCTACAGCTGCAGCTGCAGGCTGTGTTCTCCTGGCGTATTGCCCGCTCTTCACTGGTTTACGCGCCAGCTGGACCTCGCTGTGTCTGATGCTCAGCCAGTAAGTGAGTGTTCTCTAGCCTGCAGCACCAGGCTCCCTTCAGGCGGTTCACCCGTTACACGTTAGCCAGGCCTCGCTGTGTCTGATGCGCCTGCCAGCGAGTGTGTTGTGTTCTAGCCTGCGTCGCCGGATGTACTCGAGTGTCTCGTCCTTGAGTTCACTCTTGCGGCTCCCCTTTCCTCTCTCTATTCCTGGGATTCCAGGTTCGGGCCCTGGGCACCCAAGGCTCCAGCTGGAAATCCTTAGGGGGCATACGCATAGGCTCGTCCAAGCCGACCGCCCATGCTTCTGGTATTCCGTCTCTCCAACCGCATGCCGCGGGTGGCGGTTGTCAGACCTTGCTGTGTCTGACATTTCGGCCAATGAGTGAGCGGTCCCCAGCCTGCTGGCTCCCTGTTGGTGCTTGCCTGTGTGTCACAGTAGCTAGGACTTTGTGTCTGACCTCGAGTGTCTCATTGCGAGTTGATTCTTGAGGCTCCTCTGTCTGCGGATATGCACGTGGTGACGGTGCTGGCGGTGGGCCTTCAGGTCATCGCCTTCCTCAGCCCTCCACTTACACAGGCTAGGCTGCCAGCCCCCCCTTCCCTGTCTGTGAACAGCTCGGGGTGGCTTCAACTTTGAGGGTGGACGACTCACATCCCAAGCCTCACCCGTGGTTGCTGGCTGTGGTCCCCTGGCGTGTTGCCCGCCTCGCCGGCGTACACGCCAGTCGGACCTCGCTGTGGCGAGTGAGAGTTCTCCAGCCTGTAGCGCCGACTCTCTGTCTGGCATTGCCTGCATGTCGTAGACCTATACGACCAGCGGGATGCTAGTTGGCAGCTCGATGTGCTGCGTTCCCTGGTGGTTTGCCTCGCGGTTCCTGGGCTGACCTTGAGCGGCCACTCACTTGCAGTGCTGAGTCCTTCAAAGTCTTGAAAAATAAAACTTAAAAATAGAAATAAAGAATAAAATAAAATATCCATCAAGATCTTTACAACCAACAACATAAAATCTATCTTAATTGGAGGGCCTAATTCAAATAAATTTGCAAAATTAAGTAAGAATAAAATAAGACCTCTCAATATAGCCAATGCTTACAAAACTATAAAGAGTTGGCACAGTAATAAAAAATACCAACATAAATACCTGTTTATCGCGGTTTCATGGAGACTCAAATTAACAGAAAGCCATTAAACGCACCTCATTGCCTGCTGTAGCCTAATGGAAAAAAGTATATTCTTCGCAGCTGCACTTCATCTCAGAGGCCTGTGTTAGTGTGAACTACATTACCCAGCAGCCTCTGGGCAGTGATGGGATTCATGGGACTTCTGAGCTAGATGGTCTTAGTTCATTCCTGGACAAACGATTGAGGAGAGAGCTGCTGGGAAGGGAAGCAAATAGCCCATCCTGTATTTGTTGGGGAGGGTGTGCGTCACATAAACGTGAGTTAATGTTCCATGCTTAAGCTGTCTACCCTGCTACTTGTGTGTATTGGCTTTAGTTACCTTTAGCATATGTGCTAGTTAGCGATAGCTATGGCAGCCCAGGTATTTGATTGTTTTGGGCTTGTTCCTGCTTTGTTTGTTCCCCCTGTCAGTTTATGTGAATTTGTACACTGTAATAACGCTGTATTATGTGGCTAAGTAGGGGGCTGACTGTTTACTAAGTGCATAAGTGTAAATAGGTCATCTCTTGTGTTGTGCCCTCTTGTGGCACCTTTTGGGTAGTGCCTTAGTAAATGTGAACACTGTAAGAAGTGGTATCAGACTGATTTGTAGTGGAGGAATTTGTTGCCACTTTCCTTAATCTTTAATCTGTATTATTGTTGTAAAGTATACCCTGTTCTTAGTCACAGAAACCACACCATTTCACCCCTCCACATCCTCCTACTTTATGCCATACCTCCCTGTACCATCCATCTGACCACCAATAAACTCCACCTGTGGTAATCTAATCCCTGGATGTCAGCATCTCCTTCTGACCGAGGATAGTTACTATTGCAGCACCACCCAACATTAAACTGACGTACACCATTCTGTACAAAGTGGTCCTTCGAGCCGGAGGTGCTGCACCTGCATGACATGGCTGCCTCCAGAGATCAGGATGATACACGAAGTCCCCGTCTTAGCAGGGTCCATCGAATCCCTGGACATCTGGACAACTATGAGTTGTCCTACCATACCCGTGGGCCAAAGCTGTCACCCAATCTAACAGAGGAGGTTATGATGGCACCGTCAGACTCCCACTACAAAAGGAGGTCGGATGTGGAGGAGATAAGATGGCGAAGAATGGCGGATTGTCTGATTAATATCCAGCATCAGATGCGATCTCTGCAAGTGACTGTAGCAGAGTCCTGCAACCTTAACAAATGTGTGCAGCGACTAGAGCAGATCACCTCTCCAGTGCCAAAGGGGACATTAATGGAAGTGGAACCAATGGCTTCAGCTGTCCCCACACCAAATGAGCCTTGAGTGCAGTTTTGTTTTATTTATGATCATTACAGAGAAAACTTGCTCACAAAGATACGTGGTTCCGAACATGCACAACAGTTTTGCAGCGAGGGCTGTCAAGTTGGGGTAACCTGGCAAGAGATTCTGATAGAATGTGTTCAAGCCAGCTGCGGCAAATTTGGCCTTCAAATCCGAGTCACACTGCAAGTCTATTATTTCAAGTTGGATCCTGACGGGCAGATCAAAGGGATTCACGGTGAACGGCGAGCAAAAAACTTTGAAGTCTTTCTCCAGTTCACCAAAAATCTGAAATCGTTGCTCAAACTCTAGTAACAGTCCCGTTATTTTATCTTTAAACCGCTTCATATCTGCCACACTTTGGATCGTGCACACATTTTTCAGACAGGGGAAGTGAGCTGCATCACCACCAGCGAGCTGCGTCTCCCACAATAACAGCTTCAACTTGAAAGAGCGTATGCTGTCATAATACTGCGTGACAACTTGCAGCTCTTTGTTCAAGTTATTCAGGTGCTCTGTAACATCCACCATAAATGCAAGGTCCTGCATCCATTCTGCGGAATGAAATTCTAACACTGGTTTCCCCTTTTCTTCCATAAACTGTTCAATTTCTTCTCGTAAATCAAAGAAACGCCTCAGCACAGCACCTCGGCTCAACCATCTTACCTCAGTGTGGTATGGCAGGCCATAGATGTGGTCTTTCTCTCTGAGAAGACTGTCAAACTGACGGTGATTGAGGCTTCTGGATCGGATGAAATTAACAGTTTGGATGACCACCTTCATGACGTTATCCATTTTCAGTGACTTGCAACACAAAGCCTCCTGATGCAAAATACAGTGAAAAGTCCAAAAATCACGTCCTCCATTTGCAGATTGCACTTTATCTCTGAACTTTTTTACAACGCCTGCTTTCTACCCGATCATTGAGGGTGCACCATCTCTGGCCAGGCTGACAGCGCAGGACCAGTCCACTCCGACCCTGTCCAGCGCGCTGACGAGTGCGGTGAAAATATCAGCTGCGGTCGTTGTATCTGTCATCGGTACCAATTCCACAAACTCCTCGGTGACGGTCAATGTGTCATCAACTCCGCGGATGAAAATTGCCAGTTGTGCAACATCTGTAATGTCCGTGCCTTCATCAATTGCAACTGAAAACACAATAAATGACTATTTTTTGCTTCAACTGGCTGTCCAAATCCACTGAAAGATCAGAAATCCTGTCGGCAACTGTTCTTGTCAGGCTGATATTTGCAAAGGCCTGGCACTTTTCAGGGCAAACAATCTCCGATGCCTTCATCATACATGTTTTTACAAATTCACCCTCACTAAATGGTTTTGAAGCTAGTGCAATTTCGTTAGCAATGAGGTAGCTAGCTTTCACTGCAGCATCACTGATGTCTCGGCTGTGAGTAAACACAGACTGCTGTTTCTTCAGACCCGCCAACAGTTCATTCACCTTCTCTCTTCTCCGCTGTCCTTGAAAGTTGTCATATTTGTCGGCATGAAGACTCACATAGTGGCGACGGAGGTTATATTCTTTCAGCACTGCAACATGCTGGGAACACACCAAACATACAGCTTTCCCATTCACTTCCGAGAATAAATAGGAGGATGACCCTTTTTCTTGGAACACTCTGCACTCTGCATCCACTTTTCTGTTTTTTGACAGAGACATATTGGGGCAATGACGGTGCCAAAGCACATCAGGTTTAAATTTCGCGGGCAAAACAAAGTAGCTCACAATTGCTATTGCGCCATCCAATGGACACAATTGGAACAGCAGTTTCTTTATTGAAAAATTGCTGCTCATTTTTATACTTTACATAATCATCTCACGGGCCGGATTAAACCCGTTTGCAGGCCTGATCCGGCCCGCGGGCTGTACGTTTGACACCCCTGCTCTACACTGTAGAGGAAAGATCAGGAGCCGTTGTACTCCGAGGGTATACTGTACTGTGGGGAAGAAGGATGGTTCCTTCCTGCCACGTATTGACTTCTGGATATAAAGATATAACAATAAAAAACAAATATCCACTACCCCTCATTAGTTCAGCTTTCAAACTCCTCTACGGAGCCAATATCTTCACAAAGTTTCATCTGTGCAATGCTTATCACCTGGTTTGCATCAGACAAGGGGATAAGTGGAAAACTGCATTCAACACACCCCTTGGACATTTCAAATTCCTTGTGATGCCGTTTGGACTCATAAATTCTCCAACGTTTTTTCCAGGCACTCATTAATAATGTTCTCCAGGATTTCCAGGACAGGTTTGTTTTTGACTCCCACATCCCGGAAGCACCGGCAACAATTTCTCAGATTCGCCAACTTCTACCTACACTTCATTGGCAACTATAGTCACGTAGCTACATCAGTCACACAACTCAGTAAAACACAAGGTTCCTTTTTATTGTTCTTGTTAAATATTTATCAAAGTTTTGTGGAGCTGAATGTGTTTCAAAATACTTTTATTTGTTTACTGCCTCATATGCCAACTACTAAATCTAGCGCACCCGCTCACGTTTGATGGTTTTTGAGGGAGAAAAACAATTGAAATGAACATGAACTTAAATGCAACATAAGCATCATGTCAGTGGCTTCATTATCTGTATATTTAGGATTATTATCCTTCTGTATTAACTGAAACTTAAGGACTGTTTGTTAACTTCAGGGAGAACTCTGACATTTCTAAAGGGAAGTTTTTTTTATAAAGAAAAATGGGTTGACAGGTTTAAAAGTTGAGGTGAGCAGTAAATAAAAAGGGTTAAACACACAGTATCGCTCTCAAACTGCTCCTCTTCCTGGAGTGAAGCACAGCCTGATAGCCCTCCCTCTTCTTCCTGCTCTTAAACACAGCACCTCCTCTCTGTCCACATGTTTCCTCCTCATGGGTGTAACCAACATGTGGTGACGTGTAGGATCTGATAAGCTCCGTTTACTGAAGAAAAAGACTTTGTGGAGATCAGAGCTCAGGCTAGTTTCAGTTATAAGGAAGAGAAACGCACACAGTCACTGACACTGAGAGGAGAAATGGCGCAGAAAGGAGTTCAGCTGGATGAAGAAACCTTCTCTTGTTCCATCTGTTTGGAT